TTTTTTTTTTTTTTTATTTAAATTTGGTAAATAATATACCTATATTTTATTTAAATAATATACCTATATGTTATATGTATATATTTATATTTATATTTTTTTATAGGTACATTATTGGATGTGTAATTTACAGATATTTTTTTTGGTTTGCAATTTTAGGGGACGGTATGTGAGAGGGAATGACAACCAAAAGAAAAGGGGTGATTGATATGCTATTAATAGGGAGTGTTAATTACAATTATGAAAGTTAATGAAATGCTTGAAATAAATTATAAATAAAATATGAAGTTTGGTGGCAACGATGTAAAAATATAGGAATACTACGACCTCTTATATCCTACTGGTCATTTAAATTTGAAATTGGGTTTTACACATAGATTTATAGAGTGATGGGTATATGTCTAGGAAATAGAAAATGTAGGATCTATATTGGACAAGCCCTTGATAATATTAGTGAAGAGAAATATCATGAGAAGGGAAAGTATGCAGAAAAGGAAGGTAGGACTGCCAAAAGTTTGAGATATCATGAGCCATTCCTCCCCAACGTGTGTTTTTTTTTCTTTTTTTTCTTTCGACTCCTTTAACTCAAGTCTTTTGCTGGTTTTCTAGCTGTTTCTTTCTTTTCCCCTTCTTCTTCCTCTCTCCGGCTGTTTTTTCTTTCTTTCTTTTTTCCTTCTTATAATTTAAGAATTTTGGTAGGAAAAAAAAAACTTAATTTCTTACTCGATTAAAGGAAAAAAAAAACTGAAAATGGGGTGCAAGTTGGAAAATTTAGTATAAAGAAAAAGAACTAATATAAAAGTGAAGTAAAAAGAAATTAATGTAGGGATAACGGTAAAATAGGAAAAAGAAAGAACAAATTGATTAAAAAGTATTAAAAAGCAAAAGGGAGTGTAAGTGGAGAAAATGGGAGTGGGGAAATAAAACCAGCAAAAGACTTGAGTTAAAGGAGTTGAAAGAAAAAAAAAAACACGTGTTGTTTTGTAAAGAAGCCATGTTATAGCTGTTGAGGAGACATTGTCCTTTATACTACACATGTAGTGACAAAGAATAGCAACAACTACTAGACTAGGAGGTGGCGTGTTTCATCCATGACCTCTTGTCGAGGAGAGAGACTTTCATGCAAAATGTGACTCCATGTGCTACTAAGGAAAATGTCACAATTGGCAATGAGGGGAGTAGCCCAACTCCTTATAAGCCCTTGCTAGGTTTCTTAACTTTCCAATGTGGGACATTTCATCTTCACAAAAGAGTAAGTCCGTCTCTAATAATCCCCGACCAATAGCGCAATGACACGAGGGAAAACTTTTCCACATGTCATTATATTATTGGTCGGGGAAAGCAAAATAATGTTATCCCCGTTACAAGAAAGTTTTTTTTTTTTTTTTTTCCTGCTTATTGAGATGTCCTTGATATTATTGGAATATCTAGGGTGTCTTGATCGGGTCTGTGGCTGCAGCTTGAGATTAGGGTTATTAATTAGGATAACTTTTATCTTACACGGCTTGCTATTCAAATTTTGGGTTTTCGATATGCAGGAAATTAATTCTAACAAATATTCTCCTACTGCCCATGCCAAGCAAAGACCAAGCCGCTCAAAATCATGCCAAGCTCACTCCTTGGATAGCATCAAAGCCCAAGCTTTCTCACCACAATGTTGGATACTCCACCACCGCATGAGCCACAAGCTTCAAACTTCATAGCAATACATGCAAAAATATAAATATGGCATGGTAGCTCCGCATTTGATGTTGTTTTCCAGACGGCAACCATCATATGAACCACGTACAAGTTCCAACTTTAATGACATAAGCATGGTAGCTCCAAACTTTATTTTTTGTCGTCTTAATGTAAAGAGTTTTTTGGAGTGATACTTGTGGGTTTACACTTTCTTTCTTTCTTTTGGTTGTTTGTTTCATTGCATTAGTTGGACTATTTTAATTCTCATACACTTTCAAACATGCCTTGGACTTTTTTTTGGAGTTAATGTCTAAATCTGTTTTTTGGAGTCAATGTTTAAATCCTTTTCTTTTTTTTGGGTCAAAGATGCATTAGACTTTTTTTTTTGGGGGGGTTAAGACCTAGTTTACTTATGCTCCGCCTCACAACAATGCTTTCAAGATTTTGCCATTGATGCAAATAAGACACACGACGGTTAAAAAGCCGTTGTCCTTAAAAGATGGTCATTTTAACAACTAGATATATCAAGCATTTTACACCACAATAGATGACAGTTTTAGAACAAATTGTCTTCTGGCAAAATAAGACAACAATGTTTAGGCAATTCGTCGTCTATTACAATTATTGTACTAGTGATTGATAACAATTCCTTATAAATGCATTAATGTGTGTGGATTGAGATTGTAGGCGCGGTAATGAAAAACTGAAATTTTAGATAAAGTTGACTCAAACACTATATGCATCTAGGGGTAGGCTGTTAGAAATATGTCCTTAAAGCCAACTAATTATGTAATAGTTAGAGTTAAGAACATCTTTAATAAAAGACATATTATGTTATCAATGGGCAAGAAATGTTGTTTTATACATTAAATCATCCTATGTTATCTTTCAATATGTAGAACAATCATAGTCCAAGGAATACATGAGTGAATATGAGAGCTATGTAATAAGATTGCATACATGGAGACTTGAAAGAAGAAGTCTTCAAATCTTACCAGGATAATCATCTAAAATGAATGATTCATTTTAGGATATTGACAATCGGATTCCATGATCTAATATGGGAATAAGGAGTATTGACATAAGAGAAGGATTCAATTGCACGGATTTGCAATTTGAATAGGTTCTTTCACAACGTCTTATTTAGCTTGGATAATCGTGACTTGCTGCTAGGCGACAACCATGGTTTGTGGATGTCCTAAAAGGTTTCAATTAACCTCTATTAATATGAAGAATTAAATTTTGGAATTTAATGTGTATATCATCTCTAAGGAGTTGAGTCAACCCATTACCTTGCTAAAGGGAACCTAAGGATCTGCACACCCAAAGAATGTGATTAGAGGTACAAATGAGGAGAAATGAAATGAGGAGACACAAGTCAATGGTTGATAATCAAATGTCAAAGTCAAAGGTCAAAAGTCAACATGTTGACCAGAGCAATTGATAATTTAACTTAAAAGATTAATTATGGAATTAATATTGACATAAAGAAATATTGGATTGGGCTTTTAAATATGATTTAAAAGGAAAGGGACAAAATAGCCCAAAAGGCGATTGGGCCCAAGGGATAAATGACATAAGATGACATGACCCATGGACCAAATGGAGCCCCAAATACCCACACATTGCCCTTTTGTGTTGTCCTATATAAGCTAAAAGTTGGAGAAAACCTAGCTAGTGTTTTTGGTTTTCCTACTTTGGTTCATGAGTGATCATCTTTATCTTCCATAAACCAAAAATTGGTCAAATCAAGAAGTAGAGTAGCATCCATACTTCTTGATTGCCTTGTCTTCATCTCTAGGAGCATTTGGTGTGGTGAGGTAGAGGACTCCAATCTTGGAGCCTTAAGGTGAATGAGTCAAAATCAAGAGAAACAAAAGGCCTTTCCAACAAAGGTGTTCATCCTTGAGAAATCAAGAAAATGTCATCAAGGGTAAAGATCTATTCCCTTTTTCCTTTTTCTATTTGTGTTCAAAGAGACTAGGCTAAGATGCTTGGTTTAAAATGAAAAAGGTTTAGCTCAACTAGTATAAACAAAATGAATTCGCCATTTAGAATGTTTTTGTTGTATAGGTTGTGGCTAAAGTTCATTTCCTAAGCATTGGATGCATGTTTCCTTCATGGGCATGGGTTGGGTTGGGTCGGTTTCGGTCCCAATCCATAACCCAACCTTATATATAGCAGTTTACGATTTCTTGAACCATAACCCAAGAC